TTAACTGATGAGCGAGCTCTTTGCTCTTTTGCAGCAGCTTGTTCTCAAATTCGGTCTTCTTATCATCCAGCTTTTTACAAGCTTTCTTCTGCTGAATAACTTCATCCAGTTTTCTTTCCACTCCTCTCACCAGTTCCTCTTGAAACTCCTTTATCTTGTTTTCAAATCGGCCTCTCCACTGAACCAACATTTCTTTGTCTCGGTCATCCTCAAAGTACTTTGTCATATCCTTTTCTACTTCTTTATATTTGTTGCTCATTTTATTAAATAGATCACTGTGCTCAACCTTATTAAGGTTTCCATTTTCAATTATGGTATGAAGCTCGTTTTCAATCGCCAGCATGTTGCTCCTCAGGGCCCAGGTCCAGTTTCCGTACTCAACCTCAAGTCTTCTGTAAACTGCAATTTCCAATGTGTTTTTGAAGCTGAAAACAAATTGTTCATTCATCAGGGCTTTCCACAGGTCTTGAATCTTTCTGTTAAAATGTGAGATAGTAATCCCAGTGGACTGTTTAGCCTTAGACAGGATGATGTTCTTCAGCTCTTGGATGCTCTCACTGTAACCTGGATTTGGAGGAGCCATCGGTGGACTTCCCTCCCATAACTGGGCAAAGTATTTCACATCTGTTTGCACATCAAAGGCAATGACATCACTGAAACACTCAGCATCACATGATTCCTCTTTAGCAGCTAGCTGAGCCATCTGGTCCAGTTTTTCTTGTAGGCGTCTTTTCCCATCCATGTTTTTCTCAGCAGCTGTGATATCTGGCACATTCTGGTGAACAAACACACAACTCGGAGAAAGTTTAACTTTCTTCATCCTCATGAAAGCCTGAACAACAATTTGCAGGACATCATGCATGTCAGCTGGAGTCTCACCAAAGATGTTGATCAGTGTCATGTTTCCCAGACCAACAACAAATGTTGCCAATTCATTGTCATGATGAAGAGTCGCAGTTCCTGCTTTAAGTCCTTCAGTGTCCACCACTAGAACATATTCAAACTTGAAGTCTTTCTTGATTTCCTCTGACACTTCGAGCAGCTGCATGAAGGCACCTTTGGTGCACCTGCCTGCACTCACTGCAAACTTCAGTCCAAACATGGCATTCAGCATTGTTGATTTTCCACTGCTTTGTACGCCCAAAACTGACAACACAAAAACTCTCTGGTCACCTAGTTTCTTGATAACTTCATCTAAAAGACTAGAGAGCCATGTTAACGGGACATGACCTGCATCACCATCCATCAGCTCCACTGGGTGTCCAGAAATCATCAGATCTGCAGCCAGTTCAGGGTATTTAGCCCAGTCGTGTCTACTCTCTGCTTGTACTTCTCTATGGGCTTCATAGATCTGTCCCATTTCTCTGAAGATGTGCTCCAAGCCAAAGGTTGCAGACTGCAGTTTTTGGGATAGTTTTTCAAGCTCAGTTTGTTTGCTTGTTAACAGATCAGATTTGTCGTGTTTCTTCTTCAGAGTCAAGACCTCAGTCCACTTTTCATCATAGCTTTGAAGAATCAAAGAAATATCTTCTGTGGATAGGGCATCTATTAAGATCTGAGTCCATTTCAGGAAGTACTCCTTCTCTTTTGATTCCAAAGACAAGAGGCTTTCTGTGAATGACTTCATCAGTTCACTGCATGAAGCTTCGCACTGATTTTGTCTTATTATCCTCAGTTTGTGTAGCTTCTGACTTTTTTCCTGCTCGATGTTTCCTTTTAGATGATGCAATTCTTTGTTTATTTTGCACCACTCATGGCACAGATCTTGACAAGGGAGAAATGTATATTTGATATTTGAAATTTCCATCCCTTGAACCATATTAACTAATTTCATTGCAGCAGCTTTCCCTGTTTTGCAGACTTCATCATCTTCATCCACTGTGACTCCAGACACCTCGGCCATGGATTCAAGCTGGAAGGATCTATGAGGTTCAGATAAAATCTTTCTCATAATTCCTCTCAGTTCTCCAGAAACATCTGGCTGGCTTCTGTGTTTCAGACCCATTTTGTAATTGTTATTTTTCATCTGTACTGCACCACAAACACTGTCGGTAATGAGAATAATTAAAGGCTTTGGTAACTTGTAAAGGTCTTGGATGACTGTGGTACTTTTCTGACCTTTTTCCAGAGTCGGCACAAGAACAACATTAACTGATGATTTTTCAATCAGTATCTCACGCTGTTTTTCAAATGACAGAGCATCACCATGAAGATTACAAAAGGCAATGCAGTCAGTGAAGGAGTCATTGGGTTTTCCAGCAGGGCAGTACCAGGCAATCTCTGCCACACCATCCATCAGCAGGTGAGATTTGCTGCTACCTGGGGAGTTCCTGTCGAAGAAGGTGCTGTGACGGTCATTGATCAAAGTGTTCATGAGCTGAGATTTCGACACTGGAAGGGAACCCAGGCGGAAGAAAAACACCATGGGTGTCTCGGCTTTGCAAATGGGCACTGTCTTCATGGTGATGGCATGTGAATTATCCTTGATTTGAGTTTTCTTCCATGTTTTTTTTATCTGCCTGAATGTCCACAGAGGACATTCAATATCCTTTGTGACTGGGTCAGGGACAAGCAAAGGTAAGACGTACTGACACTGGGATAGCTTTGTAATCACGGTCTGCTTCAAAAAGCTGTCTGAGCAGTGGAATACTGCCATCTGAACATCCATTGGATGCATATAAGACTGCAATGAGTTATCAGAGACTGCACTGTCACTAAACATATTATAAATGTTAAACACTAGAACAGACTGTGAACCGCTCACAACAGGATTGTCTTGTCTTACAGGACTATATCTGGCTCTGTAGTCTAACATCATCAACCTCTGAAGAAAAATATGTGCCAAGTCTTTCTCAGATGTGTCATGGCTCTGTTTCACAGGAGGGCCTATTTTAAGGAGATCTGCTGGTGAGAACTTCTGTTCATATTTGTCTTGAAGGGGAAATCTTGTGGGTAGTATTTTAGACTCTCTCTTATGCTGCTCCGTTCCGCAGATTTCTTCAGAAAAATCAAATGACTCCTGTAAATAAAAAACTGTTTGTATTTACTGTTGGAAAGAACAATGAGATTGTACCTTTTGGATTTTATACAATAAATGAGAGTTTCTAACCTTATCCTTGTATTCAGGCTTATCCATATTGAGGGTAACTGTAGAACAGCAATGATTTAACAGATTAGCAAAGGGACAGCTTACTATATTGTGGAAAATGTTTTAGTTCTTCTCAAACATTTGAACATATCTACTCATTCAAGGATTTATCTTTAATTTTTACATTTTAAAAATGTGAAATATACTGAAGAAATTAAACCATAACAACCACATACGATAAACAAAAAGTGAAGCAAAGGTTTGTCATTCAGTCTCAAAAATGATCCAATCAGTTGAGCTGAAAGAAACTAATATATGATATAGACTCAATACTTGCAAAGCGAGATAATTCAAGCCTTTATTTGTTTTCATTTTGATGATTATGGCTTACAGCTTATGAAAACCCCAAATTCAAAATCAGCTAATTAATCCAAAATACCTGCACAGGGTTCCTGAGCCTTTAAATGGTCTGTTAGTATGGTTCAGTAGTAATCACAATCATGGGAAGACTGCTGACCTGACAGTTGTGCAGAAACACATCATTGACAGCCTCGATAAGGAGGGAAAGCCTCAAAAGGTAATTGCAGAAGAAGTTGGATGTTCCCAAAGTGCTGTATCAAAGCACATTAATAGAACGTTATGTGGAAAGGACTGAAGAGTGGACTGAGGCTAGAGTTAGTGTACACTAAATAGTCTTTTCAAGCCGCTACTGGACAACAAACATCAGAAGCATCTAACTTGGGCTAAAGGAAAAAAAGTACTGGTCTGTTGCTCAGTGGTCTAAAGTCCTCTTTTCTGATGTAAGCAAATTTTGCATCTCATTTGGAAACCAAGGTCCTAGA